GTAGTAAAGACCACCAGAAGAAGTTTGCTGGTGACACCAGCAATACACCTTACTGTCCTATCCCAGGGCTTTATCAATTTTCTAGACCTACATCATAATTTAGTTCGCAGGGACCTTGATCACCTTTCTCTTCCACAAGACAACACACTAGTCTACTACACTGATCAGACTTAGTGAGCAAAAAATAGCAATACTCTACACTTTAGGGCTTCTCTCAGTACCCAATGGCTCCAGTTTGAAACTCAGTGACTTTCATGCTGTTTCCTAGGGCAGAAGCTCTTCTAAAAGCACTTCTGTTCTCAGCCCATGATTTGTGATCTAGGAAGCAATCTACTATCATGTATCATTACAACAGGCCCCAATAGAAAGGGAAATTACTACAAAAACCTGAGGGCAAACTTCCAACAGAAAACCACAGTCTACTGGACTCAACAAGAGAAAGAGACGATTTACACATGAGTTTTTTTTGATGCCATGTCCATGAGTAAAACATGTGTATGTGATAGTGTGGAGTGGGCTCATTACAGTCCACAATTTTCACCTTAGGTCTTCTGGTGTTCTCACATCCTCTTTCCCTCCAACACCTTTTCCAGATGGTCATGTTCCTCACTACTAGATAAGCTAACTTGGGTGCCCTAGGAGTGGCGACCTCAAAGCCACACTGCCAAAATGTTTTTCTACATTCACAATTAGCTGAGACCCAGCTCTGCAGAGGAGACCAGACTGCTGATCCTAACATAACAGCATCAACCCTCTCTAGCACTATGTGCCAGCTGTGGGATCAAAATGTACATGCTGCTCTCCATTTAATCCTCAAAGTATCCCCAGAAGGGTATTCTCCCACTGTTATTTTACCAACGGGGAAAGTGGGGCCCAGAAAGAAATAGTCACTTGTCCAAAGTCTCAAAGCTAGTAGTAGGGAGCAGAGCCTTTGATCTAACTCCGGAGCTGACACTAACTCTTGCAGCGACACCGCCTTCCTGTGGAAACTAAAAGCAATGACACAGTGTTCACTGCACTTGGAGGCAAATCTGGAAGACGAGTGTTCTAGACAAGACTATGACAAATCACCGGCCCATGTAAGGTATACTCAGTGTAATTAAGAAAAATCCTAATGGGGAACTAAGACAGCGAGATACACAGTCATGCAAGCCAACCAAACCGCAGACAAAACCTTTCTCTCGGGCCGGCCCGTGGCTCACTCGGGAGAGTGCGGTGCTGATAACACCAAGGCCCCGGGTTCGGATCCCACATAGGGATGGCCGGTTAGCTCGCTGGCTGAGCGTGGTGCTGAGAACACCAAAGTCAAGGGTTAAGATCCCCTTACCGGTCATCTTAAAACAAACAAACAAACAAAAAAACCCTTTCTCTCACTCACCTATTCCCTCAGTATCTCAAGCTCTCTGTCTAAAAAGAAAAGTCATACAAATATTTAAAAGAGTCACTGCTTTTTTTGCAGCTCTCCAGATTCGGTTGCTGCACACTGCTGTGGATTTCCTGGGACAGGATGGTCAGTAGCTACTCAAGAACCAGAAACTGCAGGATCTGCTACATGGTGCGCATTTCAGGCCGAAGCCACCCATGGCAATGCTCCAGGAGCCGCCTGAGGGTTTCTCAGGGACCAGAAGCCTCTTGAAAGCAGAACCCTCAAAAGCACAGGTGAAACACTTCCAGACTGGGCCCCGGGTCGGGCGGGGGAAGCTCCTGGCTCCAGGCGCAGGAACTCTCACGGTTTCACTATAACAGCCCTTTCCGCTCGTGGGAGCCCGGCCAGACGCCACCGTCAGGCTCCCAGACCATCTTGACCCCAAACAAGCTGCACCCGCCAGCGAAAGCACCTGGGGCTCCAAGAGAGGAATGACAGCTGCGGCAGGAGTCATCGCGCCTGAGGAGCTGTCTCCAATACCTTGGCCTCAGTGGGCCGGGGATGCTGAAGTGCCTGCCCCCGTCCTTCTTCCACCAGTGTCGCCGGGAGGCACAAGAGCAGGGAGCTTTCTCCTCTCTGTCTCGTACCCACGCATGACTAGGTCACGGCTCCGACACAGGAAGTTGTAGCTCTAAAGAGAAGCGTCCACAAACTAATAGTGCCTGCTTGGGACCAATGTGAGGACCGCGTTTCCCAAATGACATCATTGCATCTGGCGACCATTGGATAAGATCTCGCCACGACTCACAGCTGACCAACGAGAAGGGAAAATTCGCCTCCAGGAGTGGGACCAGCGAGGGACCAATTGGAAGACAGGAGGCGGGGCCAGCGGGCTAACTCTAAGACCCAAGAGACCTCTGGAGGCGGTTGGAGGAGAATAGGTGGGGTCGCTAGATCGAAGCTACGAAACAAACTACGAAGGAAACCCTAGACCACTGTTACCCCCGGACAGGCAACCAGAGTCAGAATCCCCAAGAAAACTTACTAAAGTGCGAATCCCCGAGCTCATGTGACATCCAATGCGTCAGGGTGTCGGGTGGAGTCCAGAACTCTGAATTTTTAATAAGCTCTCCCAAGAAATTATTCCCACACAGGTTTGAGAATCACTAATCGGGTCATAACAGATTTAAAGGAGGTCCCCAACCGCTCTGGTTACTCTAAGGCCGATGTGGGAGGAGGAAGCCCTCACTTCGTTCACGACCCCTGGCTCGCCCCACCCAACACCCTGGGACTGAGAAGCGCTGAGATCCGGAAATAGGAGCACTTCGAAAGCAACTTGAAGTTAGGTGGAAGCTAGGGAAAATCTCAGCGGCTCACACGTCAGCATCCTTGTGGGCTCACAGCGCGGCGGGAGCGTGAGGCCTGCCGGGAGATGTAGTCCGCAGGGCGGCCCCTGCGCCTGCGCCTTTGGCAGTTGCCGGTGAGCCTGGGAGAACCGTGGGCGCTGAGGCGGTGAGTCCCGGAGCGGCCAGAGGGCGTGGCCGTCCCTGGGGCGCGGGCGTGGGTAGCGGGGTTCCCTTAGTTAGCTGGGCCATGTAAACTGGCTGATTCCAGCTGTGCCCCCGGCGTCGGGCGCCAGGAGGAGCGGTGGGCGGCGGGCCCGTTTCTGGCCAGGGTCCCCGCCGCCGCTCCCTGCGACCCAGCCGGGCCTTCCTGGGAGACCTCCCGGGCTGGGAGCGCCCCTCCGGGCGGCGGGACGTCGTTGCCCAGGAGCGCTTGGGGGCCGCGCTTGCGACACTGTCATCCGATTTTAAATGAGCTTTTAGATTTACCAGGGACGTGTCACTCTTATCGTCCCCCAAGTGCCCTCTTTTCACATATCGCTTTTCTCTTAGGCCCTATGAAGACGGGTTCAATACAGGGATGTTTGGGGAGAAACCTCTAGTAACATAGTGAAGTGAACTTTTAATTGGGAAAGGCCTTTGGGAAGGACCCGGGGCGAGGGGTGGGGTTGGGGAACACTTCCCTGGTAGACGTGGTGGAAGGTTTTGGGTCAGTGAGGGGAGGGCTGGCCAGCTGCGAGGCTGGAGCGGATTAACAGTGGGTCCACAGCCAGAAACTGCACAGTTCCTGGATGCACTCCAGCAACGGTTAGGTGCCTAGGCTTAGAGAAATAGAAGCTTCCTAGGAATGAGTCCTGACAAGCAATAAACTTTAATTGAGTGCTTCCTCTGCGTCAGGCACGCTGCTTTCCGTGCAATTGGATCCGTGCAGGACATTTTATGGATTAGATGCTCTGATTATCCTCATATTACAGACAGAGGCAGTGGGTGTCAGGGTCACACAGCTAGCAGGTTATCACTAAGTCGGTCTGCTGCTAAAGTCAGGTTACCATCATGGTAAAGGGTGGTACGGGGATAGACTGTCGATTTTGGTTGACTGGATGGAAAGAGAGAAACGGGTATTTATTTTTCCTTGAACCCCTTTCAAGGAAGAGCTGTCTCAGCATATGCAGCAAGAGAGGATCCACAGCAAATTGGCAGGTATAGGTCTTGAGACCTGTGGCAATGTGTGTGACAACCTCTGTGACCTCAGAGATTGCACTAAGAACATTTCGATGTTTTTAGACGTTTGAATGACAAGAGAATATCAATTCTAACTTCATCACCATTTATCCTTGGCATTACACTGTGACCTTGGACAAATTATTCAATGCCCCTAAGCTTCAAACCTCAGTTCCCTCATCTGTATTCAGAAGATAATATTAGTACTCAGCTCCTAACATTGGATGAGGGTTAAATGAACTAACATGTGTAGGATGCTTAGAACTGTACATGGAACATAGTGTGAACTCGATAAATATCCATTGTTATAAATGCAGAGGGAATTCCTGATGGCCTGCCCTACCGCAATGTGTTTTTCTCATAGGAAAGACACTTCGAATGCTGTTGCAGGATGAGGGTCCTAGTGATGTTGGCTAAACTACACATACGTGGAATGGAGAAGAATGAGGGATTCATGAGTTGCTGCACTTGCAAAGCATGGCTCAATCTAAGTTCACTGACTGAAGGCTATTAAGGGTTACTTAAAGCTAGATGGACTTTTAAGAGTTATTCAAACGTATTGTTAGTATTCCTCCTCCATTTCTTTTGAGATCTACATATATTTAGAAACACAAGACACTTGAAGTTAGACTGGGAGTGAGGTTAAATGCCAGAAGATCTGTAGGGGTTCATTTAAATGTAGGGTTAAATGAGGGACCATGGAATTCTAGAGCAGAACCATCCAATAGAACTTTCTGCAGTGATATCAATTGAACACTTGAAACTTAGCTAGTATGACTGAGAAACTGGATTTTGGGGGCTATTGGCTACCATATTGTACAGCACAGTTCTAGAGGGTCCTTGGATGAACTTTGAAACTTTATAAACTTTTGAAATTGTATGCAGAATTAGATGTCTATCTGTATTTTTCGAGGAAGTAAGTATGTAGCTTTCATCAGATTTTCAAAATCATGAGAAAGATTAACAACTGCTGCTATAGGTCTTTGGCAAAATCAAGTAAGTTAAGGGCAGTTAAGTATGCCCTCTTGTAACCCCTGCTGTTTCTCTTTTTTCATTTTTTCTGTCCTCAGCTGTGGGTGGCTTCCCTTGACGATTACAAACAGAAACAAATTTGAATCTGAGACTTCAGGCCCCACACAAACCATAAACTGCTGGAGGGGGCAATGGCTGTGGCCCTGGGTTGTGCAATCCAAGCCTCCTTGAATCAGGGCTCTGTGTTTCAAGAGTATGACACTGACTGTGAAGTCTTCCGTCAGCGCTTCAGGCAGTTCCAGTACAGAGAAGCAGCCGGGCCTCATGAAGCTTTCAACAAACTCTGGGAGCTTTGCTGCCAATGGCTGAAGCCAAAGATGCGTTCTAAGGAACAAATCCTGGAGCTGCTAGTGTTGGAACAATTCCTAACTATTCTGCCCACGGAGATAGAGACCTGGGTGAGGGAACACTGCCCAGAGAATAGAGAAAGAGTCGTGTCACTGATAGAAGACCTACAGAGAGAACTTGAGATACCAGAGCAGCAGGTGAGAAAGCAGTTTGTTATCTTTGTAATTAAACCGAAGGAAGTAGGTGAGGCAGCTGGGACTAGACCAAACGTTTGTGTCTGTGTCATTCGCCAGTCCCAAGATTTCTCTACAGTTCTTTTAATTTTTCTTTTCTGCTACAATCAGTATATGGGTCAGTAGTTTCTATCCCTGCCAGACCCTATCCTTCTATAACAAACATTTTTTTTTTTTTTAAAGATGACAGGTAAGGGGATCTTAACCCTTGACTTTGTGTTGTCAGCACCACGCTCACCCAGTGAGCTAACTGGCCATCCGTATATGGGATCCGAACCCGTGGCCTTGGTGTTATCAGCACCACACTCTCCCGAGTGAGCCACAGGCTGGCCCCATATAACAAACATTTTATAGTATCCTCTTTACTATTCTTAAATGAAATTCATGGATAGCATAACCCACCTACATACATCAAACAAAAGCATCAATATAGAGCATGCACTGAATAGTGATGTTTCAATCAATGTTGGTCTGTGTACATGATCATGGTCCCATAAGATACCCTATTTTTACTGTATCTTTCCTATATTTGGATATGTTTAGGTACACAAATACTTACCGTTGTGTTACAGTTGCCTACAGTATTCACTACAGTAACATGCTATAATGGTTTGTAGCCTAGGAGCAATAGGCTATACCACATAGCCTATGTGAGTAGAAGGCTATACCATCTAGATTTGTGTAAGTATACTCTGTGATGTTAGCATGAAGCAATTATATTAGGATGCATTTCTCAGAACGTATCCCCTTCCTTAAGTGATGCATAGACTGTATTGCTCTGTGGCCTATAGGCCAATTCTGGCCATGTCCTGTTTATAAGCTGATAATGTTTTTTATCTTGTTAAAGCATTCTTTATAAAATAAAATAGGAAGAAGGAGAAGAACTGACAGAGTGAATGTGGCCCACAAAGCCTAAAATTGGCTCTTCACAGAAAAATTTTGTCAACCCTGAGTCAAGGAGAGTAGAGAAAGGCTATAAAGGAAAAGGAACTAACATACTTTGTTATAAACTAATGTGCATTTCTGCATATACATGTTTGGGCTTGACTGAACCGGAAGACATCATGAAGCTGTCAGATGCCTACATCTATGCTTGGAATCACTGTAAGGTGACAACTAGAAATTCAGACTGATACTGCTCAATAACTACAAGCAGAGTTGCTGCTTCTCATATGATTTTCCAGAGTGGCATACAACTCTTGGTAAATCTGAGCTAGAAGTAGTGTAGTCTTCCTTTGATTTTCACAGTAATGCATACCTAGAAAATTCCATTTATGCTAAAACTATGCAAAACAAAACAAAACAAACAATTGTACTTCTATGACAAACAGGGTGGTGTTCTTGACAAGTTTATTTTAACCTACACGAATGTTTCAGGGGACATTCCACAGTCAATAGGCACCTGGAATAATTCTGCATTATGAATTATGCTTTTGTCTCTGGCCTGCTAAATTATGATAGCCGCCACCTGCCAGCATATCCAATACACTCCATTGAGAGCAGTGAGACTGTCCTCTGTTCAGAACCATCGTGTAAAACCTCTGTTCAAGGAGTGCCATGGCAGAGCAGAGGACAAAATCTCTGGGAGAAGGGAGCAGGTGCTTCTAAGCTGGGCATCAGGGATGCTCTGGTCTTGAGTGTGGGCAGGACACTGCAGGAGCTTTTAGCTTCAGGGTATGTAGCCACCCTGAACGGGGTCTTCCAAAGTTTCCTGCCTCCCTACCATAGCAAGGGTTGGTGGTTTCCCTTCCGTTCTGTCTTCTTGGTTTTGTTTACTCTACAAGATTTTATTTTCCTGTGTCTAAATGTGTGCTGCCCATTATAGGAGCCACTAGCCACGAGTGGCTCTTGAGCATTTGAAATAAGGCCAGTACAAATTGAGGTCTGCTATAAGTGTAAAACACACACCACATTCAGAAGACTTAGTATGAAAATAAAGTATGTGAAATATTTCACTAATAATTGTTTCTATTAAACACAAGTTGAAATCCTGATAATATGCATTGGATTAAATAATATATACTATTAAGGTTGACCTGACCTATTTTTTTATTTATTTTATTCATATGGCCACTAGAATATTTAAAATGACATGCATGGCTCTCATTATAGTTCTGCTGGGCAGTGCTGGTATAGACTGTAGAATGATGGGTCCTGGCATCTCCCCCAGGTCGATATGCATGACATGCTCTTGGAAGAACTGGCACCAGTGGGAACAACACACATACCACCAAACATTCACCTGGAGTCAACCGCAATCCAGGTAATGGGACCTGCCCAGGAGTCCCCAGTGGCAGAGGTATGGATCCCACAGGCAGGGCCACAGGAGCTGAACTACAGTGCTGCTGGTGAATGTCAGCCCTTTCTGGACTCTGGTAAGGGAAGGGTTTTCTTTCTTTTGTTTCTGTTTTGAGAACTTGAGAGTTCTCAAGGGTTGGGGTTGGTTAGAAATACCAATTACCCAGTCGAAATGGACCACTTGGGTAAAGAGGAAAAGGAGGAAATTTCTTTCTGGGAAGGACAGGAAACAAAGTACTTTGGATAGAATGGGATTAGGAACCCCTTAAGTTAATGATCCTGCTCAGGAGGCTTTTGACAAAGAAGGTTATACAGGAAAAGCGGGGAAGTTTGGATACTCTGTATAAGAGCTCATTTCCCCAGTAAAATTTAATCAGTGGGATCTGTGATGCTGTGAGTCCAGAGGGTACTTTTGTGTCCTCTTCAGTTGCTTTTATGGCATAAGAACTTCATTCAAACGTAATACTTTTATAATATACTTTCTTCAGATCCTTTAAGAGGGTTCAATCAGTTACCACAGTATAAAGAAAATATCTATTTTATTCAATCAAAACCTAGAACAGTGTTTCTCGAAGTGTAGTAAGCAGACCATCTGTATCATTATCACCTGGGGCACATGTTTAACAAGCTTTCCAAGTGAGTGCTATCCACGCTAATGTTTGAGAACCACTCTCCCAGACGTGACAGGTGTTTGTTCTAGAAGTAGAAATTCCATTTGGAGAAAAGCAGCTGAACAGTGTAGCCTAGGTATTCCTGCATTTCACTTCTCTTTGGAGTTTTCTTACATTGTTACCAATGCTCCCTGTCTCATTCTGCCTCTCGCCCTCATTAAAGCTGTGGCCCGAGTGTGTCCAGAAATCTCTCCCCTTACTCCCCCAGGCACAGCTTCAACATGTTGGCTCATTGAAGAGACTGTGAAATACTGAGAAAACAAAGAGACATAAAAAATGAAAATAAATCAATAACAGTCCAAGGTACAAAATATGAATGTTTGATCCATCCATAACTAGCTCAGTACCCAGGCTTAGCAACCATGCCCCATTCCACATGTTAACATTTATTCATTTATCCAGTATTATGAGCACCTATGAAGAGCCAGGCACTGGGCTAGACCCTGGCACTGTGTCAGACAAGACAGAAAAGCAGTTCCAACTGTCCTGGAGCTTACAGTCTGGTGGAAATATATCAGTAGGGCTGTAAGTCCTGTATGTGATGTAAATAGGACTATAAATAGTATGTTAGAGGGAATAGGATATTAGGGAAGCACATAGGAAGTCCACCTAACCAGCTGTAGGTTGAGAGGGAAGATGTGTGGAGGAAGAGAAATCTGGGTTAAAACCTAAGGGATGGATTGGATGAGCCTACTGAGTGATATACACAGATTTGCATTTTAGGAGATAACTCATACTACAATAGGAATGGGCATGACTGAAAGCATGTTCACCTTTTGGGAGGTTATTGAAAGCATACAGTTGAGAGAGAATGGTTTTTTAAATCAGGGGCTTGTTACTGATGACGAAGTGAAAGGGGCCAATTCAAACGATATTTAGCAGGTGTGAAATATGGGACTTGGTGACTGGGTGTCAGGGTGATGGAGAAGACGGGGTTAAGAATGGCATCCAGGGTTCTGACCAGTGCACTGTGGAGGTGTTGATATTATTCACTGACATGGGGAGCACAAGAGGAGGATTAGATATGATGTGTCAAGGTGAGTGTAGATTTGAAAATGTGGAGTTGGAAGTGCTTATGGGTCTCCAGCATACTTTTATTTTAATTTTATTTTAATTAATTAATTAAATAATTAATTTAAAGATGACTGGTAAAGGGATTTTAACCCTTGACTTGGTGTTGTCAGCACCACGCTCCCCCAAGTGAGCTAACCGGCCATCCCTATATAGGGATCTGAACCTGTGGCCTTGGTGTTATCAGCACCACATTCTCCCAAGTGAGCCACGGGCTGGTCCCTCCAGCATATTTTTAAATAAGGGTGACACAGAGGAAAAACCCACTAGTACCTATGTATACATATTGTGTTCAAAGCAGAATTATATAATATTGCCATATATGTTCCAACCTTTACATTTCTTACATTTCATAGTTTATTAAGAAGTTTTAAAAAATCTGTATTTATGTATATGTATATATATGTGCAACAAGTGGCAGAACTTAGCTAGTTATACTTAATTATAAATATTTATGTATATGCATTCTGGTTCTCCATGTTAATTTGTCCCTTTTATCAGCATTGCTGGTACAAAGATCACATAGCAGCAGTATTAATCTTGGTGTTAATATTTTATTATCTAAAACACATGGAAATTCAGTGTATTTAACAAAGGATATATAGAATTAATTAATCAATCAAGTAAAAAATACAAATTTGGAGCAGAGAAGATTATCCCGTTTTCATCACTGTTTAAAGTGACATAATATGCTTTGCAAAATGATGCAAGACTTATTGTTCGATTATTTAAACATTACTTAAACTTGTACTGTTTGTTTATTTATTTATTTATTTTGTGATAGATTTTGGTTGTGGTGTATTAGTTTTTTTTTTTTTTTAAGTAAAAACATCTTTGATGTATTAAGTGAATCACATCCTATTGTAGACTGTGGAAAGCATAAAATGCTGGCTTAATGGAAAAGAAATTTAGAAGTAATGGAAGATGTCAATTGATTATATATTATAAACATAATATATATATATATATATTCCCTGTCAGCAAAAAAATAGATTGTTGGGTGTGTATGAAGTGTGTATACATGTATGTATATGTTTTTTCATTTAATGATATTTACTTAATATAACTGAGAATACATACACACGTTTATTGCAAAATAAAAAAGAACTCGAGTGAAAAATGCGAAGTGACTTTAGGAAGATGTATTAGTCCGTTCCTGTTGCTTACTACAAAATACTTGAAACTGGGTAATTTATAAAGAAAAATGAAATTTATTGCTTACAGTTTCTGAGGCTGGGAAGTCCAAAGTCCATCTGGTGGTGGTGACAGCAACTCAGGGGTCTCACATTACAAGATGGTGGAAGCAGAGAGATAGCAGAGAGCAGGACAGACTCCTTTCCTTTTAAAGCCCTCAGAGCCATGCCCCTGACCAACATTTTTAATGCTCAGGGGTCTCACATTACAAGATGGTGGAAGCAGAGAGATAGCAGAGAGCAGGACAGACTCCTTTCCTTTTAAAGCCCTCAGAGCCATGCCCCTGACCAACATTTTTAATGCGTTCACTACTGCATGGTCCTACAATCCAACCATGTCTTCAAGGCTCCACCTTTCAATTACCATAATAGCATTTCCCAGCCTCTTAACAGTTACAGTGGGGGCTAAGTTTCTAATATATAAATCTTGGGAGACAATTCAAGCTTCAGTGACTTTTGGGGGGACACAATTCAATTAATCCACAGCCGAAGACATGAGCTTATAAAATTCCTCATTTGAATTCAAGCCAGACACTCTAGATGCTAGAGGTAGTCAATATTAGAATGTCTGCAGTCACAGAGAAAAGAGGCAAGGAGGCACTAGTCCTAAAAATATAAAACATATCATGCTTATATTTGAAAATGTGGAGTTCAAAATTAGTACACCAAAATTGGAACGCAGTTTAAATTGTCAAAGCCTTGGATTTTTCATTTCAATTGATGAGGTTTCACTTGCAATGTATGTGAAAGGTCAAGTATCACATCTTTTTGGTGATGAAGAATATGAGAGATGAAAATATAAAGTAAAATATGGGACAAACAAATACTATCTGCAAAACATCAGAAGATTCTTGTAACAAATTACTTCAGATTATCCTATTATACCAAATAATTTAACAAAAACTAATATCAACCTCCTACTATAGTAATGGTATTTCTTGTTGCAGTTGGGCCTTCATGACAGTCTTCGTTAATGAGGCTTAATAAAGTAATTCCCTGAGCATAGGATGGAGAGAACATTCATTAGTGAAGTACCTTCTTTGTTAACCTTCAGTTGCTTTGTGTTGGATAGCTATTGCTGCATAATAAATTACCCCCAAAACTTAGCAGCTTAAAGGAAAAAGCATTTATCAATTCACAGTTTCTGAGAGTCAGGAATTCCGGAGTGGTTTACTGGGTGTTTTCGGCTCAGTTTTTCTTGTAGTTGCTGTCAAGATGTCAGCAGGATCTCCTTTTTGAAGTCTGAATAATATTGCCATTTACCACAACTTGAATGGACCTGGAGGACATTATGCTAAGTGAAATAAGCCAGATATAGAAATAAAAATATTGCATGATATTACTTATATGTAGAATAAAAGAAAAAGTGCTCAAGTACAGAGATAGAAAATGAAACACAGGGGAGGGGAGGAGGAAATGGGCAGATGTGGGTCAGAGAATACAAAGTAGCAGATATGTAGGATGAACAAGCCTAGAGATCTAATGTACCACATGAGGAATAAAGTTAATAAAAGTGTCTTGGAGATTTTTGTTAAATAAGTAGATTATAGCTCCACTTGTGACTAAAAAAGTAACTGTGTAAAATATTGGATATGTTAATCTGCTTCACTATAGTAACCATTTTACTATGTATAGGTATCCCATAATATCATTTGTAAACCTCAGATATACACAATAAAATTTATTTAAAAAAAAAAAAAAAAAAAACACGACGTCAGCAAGGGCTGACAGGCCTCCGTTCCTTGCTAAGGGAACTTCTCCATAGGCTACCTGAGTGTTTTCACAATAAGCCAGCAGGCCTCCCCCAGAGCAAAGGATCCAGGAGAAAGCAAGGAGCATGTAATAGTGTCTTCAATAACCTAGTCACACACTATTACTTCTACCGTAATCTATTCATTAGAAGAGTCACTAAATCCAACCCACCCTTAAGGGGAGGAAAATAACGTTCCACCTCTCAAAGGAAGGAATATCAAAGAATTTGGGAGTCTATTTTAAAACTACCATATACCCCATGCTTCTCTAGCCCTACTATCCTTTTACTTTTACTTCAGTTTTTGAGGTTAAAAAAACTATTTTTTTGTCTTTTTCTTCAGTTAATTTTTCTTGAGTAAATTTATTCAATTAATCAGGTCAAATAGAATA